CACACAAGTTATCACTTTAAGAAACTTAAAGTTACAAACGCTGTTTATGAAATATGCCAATATTCTTTGTGTTGAGGGAACTAAGAAACGATTTTTCCTACTAGATCGCATGCGAGACAATATACTAGTAATTATACTAGCTAGGCAACTTGAAATATTGGGTGCTGCGTGCTACTGTACGTGCTAGCATACTAGTTTTCGATAATAAGTTCAGTGCTATTTTCACTACGTGGTCTGTTGTTAGTTGACGTATACTGTAAAGATAAACGCGCAAAAAATACAAATAATAGGGTAAATATAAAGAAAATAGTTTTCTCACCAATTTTTATAAAGCTTAATGTAATATAATATGTTCTATTGATTAGAATTTTGTGTTTATTATGAAAGTGTTTTGTAAGGTTAGGGAATCCGCCGTCATACATTATTATAGTAATTGTATATATACAATATGTATACATATATATTATATATATACATGCGATTATTAAAGTTAATAATTTTCTAACCTTACAACTTCACGCTTAAAATATTTTATTATATAAAAAGTACATACAAGTATTCCATAACACAAAATCTTCAAGGAATGTCTGTAGAACATCCTATATTCTAAGGACGTTTCTTGAAAGCTGCATAGGAATGTGTTTGTGTGTTAGATTTATTTTCTTTGTATTCATGTGCAATAATATTTGTATGCAGTATTTTCTTCAGCTATAATAATGGAGGAAACTGTGAAGAGACGAAAGTTAGGTACAGTTGCTCTTCTTCTCATAATAGAAAGGGAAAGAAGAAAGCAAAAAAATAAACGAATTTGGGCCAGATATTGGCTGCAACGTAGATATACAGTTCATAATACTTTAACAATGCTACATAAAGAACTAAGGTTTGTAATATATGTATATATGCATTTATAAATTATTATATTTTAATTCTTATTTGCAATGTCAGTGACCTGCATACATTTAAATTTACTTTTTAATTTATTATTTTTGTTTTAATTTAAAATTGTGCTATCTATTGTAGTATTGAAGATTCAAGTTCTTTTCAAAATTATTTACGTATGGAACAACTTGTACTTGAGGAGCTGTTAGATTGTGTTGCACCTCTAATTGAAAAGAAAGACACTGTAATGAGACAAGCTATCCCTGCTAAAGACCGATTAAGTGTTATGTTACGATATCTTGCGACAGGAAATTCATTCCAGGATTTATCATATTCAGTACGAATCGCACCTAACACATTATCTCAATTAATACCTGAAACATTAAAAGCTATTGTTGAGGTACTTGAAAACAAAGTTTTCAATTGCCCATCTAATCCAGTTGAATGGCAAGTTTTGGCAGAGAAATTTAATGTATTGTGGCAATTTCCGCATTGTGTAGGTTCATTAGACGGTAAGCATATTAATTTCCGACCACCAAGAAAAGAAGGTTCAATCTATAGAAATTATAAAGGAAAAGACAGTATAGTTCTTCTTGCTCTTGTAGACGCTGAATATAGTTTCATATTTGTGGATATAGGAAGGAATGGTCGCATGCATGATGCGTCTATATTCCGAGAAAGTCCTTTATCTGCACAGTTGTATTCTGGAACATTAAATTTTCCTCTGCCATCATCATTGCCTGGATATGATGTTGATGTACCATATGTAATTGTAGCAGATGATGCTTTTCCTCTTAAGACAAACATAATGAAACCATACTCTGGACGGGCTCTTACTAATGAAAAGAAAATTTTTAACTACAGACTGAGTAGAGCACGTAGAACAGTAGAAAATGCTTTTGGCATTATGGCGAACAGATTCCGTATTCTTTTGAATACTATACCTCTCTCAGTAGAAAAAGTAGAATTGATTACATATACGTGTTGTATCCTACACAATTTTTTACTGAAAAAGAAAGCACATACTTATATTTCTTCAGAATTGAGAAGCAATACTTCTAATACGATGCAATCAAATTTGAGTGGTATATCATGTCAACACGGAAATCGTTGTACTGATGCAGCTGCTACTATTAGAGATCATTTCTGTACATATTTCAATACAGTAGGAGCTATATCATGGCAATATATATCTATTGATAAAGAATAGTATTTATTGTCTTATTTCAATGGCTTGGATAGATATTATATGTTGTAATTTCCAATATTTTCAATATTCAAGACAATTTTTTAAAACAATGATTTAGAGATTATATCTTATGTTTATTTATTACTCAAATACAAGGATGTTGCTTTATATAAACTAATACATTTCATATGTTCTATTCAATGTAACAAAATAGAAGAACATAAAATGAATGGAAAAACTTTAATCAAAAATTCAATCATAAAAACAAAATAATATTAATATTTAATCTTATAGATATCACCAAAAATTTTTTATGTAAGAACACTTTGTACTTTATAAAAAACCTGAGATCACAATGTAATATAGTTATACTTATACAGGGTGTTCCCGGGTTAAACGGCCAAACTTGAAAGATATATTTAGGACCTCAAAGCAAGAAAAATTTTCCTCTGGAAATATGCTCGTAAACGTTCCGTTCACGAGATATTGACTTCTGAAGTTATGAACTTTTAGGAATGAATAGTTTCGAAATAGGACTCTTTCTTTGATTTAGAATTCCTTGTCTGGTAAATATACGACGGAACTTTGTTTACGAAATCGAAGGTCATTGGTAGGCTTTTATTTGCATGGTAAACAAAGCGTCGTATCATCGTACCTTTTGGAGAATATTCCTTTGAATATGAGAGTGAA